AGGGAATGTATGCTGTGAAGTCTAACTTTGGGGCTTGGGTCCTAGGTGTTGATAATATCCCCAGAGGCCTTACCAAGGGTCCTGTTAGAAACATGCAGAGGCAGGAGCCAACATCTGGTTGTGATTAATACTCTCAACACCCTGGACTAATATGGATTGGCCTTGAGCCACAGCCAACTCTTCCTGGGAAAGCCAGCTCCCGTGTGCCGCTCAGATTCTGCAGAGTCCCGCTCTTTACCTAGACTTTCTTAGCCTCTCCTTGGCCTCCTTACAATTTTACATGGAGGGGCCATGTAAAGCTGCCTAATGAAAGTGCGTGGAGCTGTGTGACATCACCAGTTCAGAACAGAAGAAGTCCTCAAGAACTGAGCACAGGAGCTGAGCTAGAAGGTCACAGGGTCCCCTGAACATCTTCACAGGTATGCGGGAGGCATGTGAAATATCCTGCACCACACATGACAATCCCTTATTGCAAAGAATTATCTGGTACAAATGTGCAATTGCAGAGAAACCCTGGTGTAAATATTTGCTTTGAAGACACTAGGATCCCTTAATATTATTAGGTTCTTGGAGAAATCCAAGATCCCATAAAGCTTAAGGATTATTAGCAGAGGAGCAGAAAACAAGACACCAGAGTGACCCAGACCTGGTTCAAAGCTATTCACAGAGCATGACTAGGGGTTTATCCAACTCCTCTCAGCCTCAATTTCTTTTAAAAGATAGTGTTATCATAAGATTTCAATTATCTCACGCACTGAGAGAGTATAAGCATAATGACTACACAGCAGAAACTTATTAGGTGTTTTATCAATATTTTAGTACCCTTAATCATTTCTAGAAATGTGATTTTGGAATCAAAATAGCACAATAGGAACTCACACCTATCCTTGTCACTAGAGGTTAAAGGCAGGATTGCTGTGAGTTTGAGGCCAGCCGCGGTTACATACTGAGTCCCACAGTGAGGTCAGCCTGTTGACCAAGCTGAGACCTTGTCTCAAAAAAGAAAAGAGGGGAGAGATGCAAAGATCTGGCCCTGTTAAGACCCTTCTGAAGTCAATTGATGTAAATGATCCTCTGTCTTTACATCATTATATAGTAAATGTTGGAAGCAATACTAATATCACAAGATCATTGGAAGAAATAATTAAATGAAGTCACACAAAATGCTTCTACAGATACTCTGCAGAGAAAAGTAACACTCATGCATCTGGTCCCCAAGCACTTGATCCCTCCTTTTATAAGTGGTTAGGGCTGATGACTTTCTTAGTCATCCCAGGCACAGGCAAGAGAGAAATTAACACCTCATGTGAGTTTTTCATATCACTAAAGTACCCTGAGGAAGTCACTGTTTGTTTTCACTCTCATTTCCCCCCCCTTTCTTCGGCATTGTTTTGTGTGCCAAAGGTAAGGACTGGGTCTATGTGCTTAGAGTTCTGCTGATAGTATGATAGGAAGAAAGGTTTCCTTTGGCTTTAAATCTATAAATTTATTATTATTATTATTACTATGAGTACATATGTGTATGATGATGCCTGTATATGTAAGAACACATGCATGACACACATGTGTAGGCCAGAGGATAACTTTGTGGAATTAATTCTCTCCTTCCACTTTATATGGGTTCCAGGAACCTAACTCATGTCATCAGGCTTACATGGTAAGCGCCTTTACCCTTTGAGCCATCTTGCAAACCCAAGATTTATTACTTTTGAAAAGCATAAGCATGGTCCAAATTGTGATGAAGTATGTATACTAAAATTACTAAGTAATATCCTTGGATATTTGTATTCACTTATATAAAGTTGTAGGTTTTTACTCCCGTGCCCAAATATCTACTGAACATAATATTAGTAGAAAAAATGTCATGGAAAACTAATATCCTTGGTGAAAATTATTTCAAAGTAAAAAGATAAACGTGATTTTCAGGAATATGTTTGAGTGTGAGTAGCAAGTTCTTTGTTCAAGCAAGTTCATTTTAGATGATGTCTAGTAAGGGACATGTGATTAGAAGGCAGATTTGTCTTTTTTCCTCCACTTTACTCCCATGCTTGGACATCTCCTATACTTTCCAGCATCCATGCATTCTGGGTATGTCCCTAGATTTCAATACTGCTCTCTTCCAGCACACACCTGTGGTATACTGTCTTCACTGGTTCTGAAAGTCTTTTCATGAAGAAGTATCCCATCTGGAAATGAGTTACTCTTATTCACATAGCTAGGAAATCCTAGTGAATTCAAGACTTGTACTGTTCTTCCAACTTTGGCCTTCACCAGCTGGGCCAGTCCCCTAATATATATGGAAGTGCTTTGTCTTGATAAGTGTTAGATAAACGATGCCTCGTCTTCTTGGAGCATTGTATTATTCATCTGTAAATGGAGGAGGTTGGACCAGAGGACCTCTGAGAACCTTTCTAAGCTTGAAGCTCTGTGATGACATTCAAAATGTTAAGACAATGTGGTCTTCCTGGCATTACCATTAATGAAATTACCCATCATTTATCTTATGAGAAAGAAGCACACACCAATAGCAAGAGGACAGCCACTCTGGCAAACAAGGGTGTGTGGATTTTTATTGTGACCACAATACTCTAGTGACACATGTGATAAATGTGAATGTCTCATATAAAAAAAATTCTAGAGGCCCTGAGGTGAGTCTCCTGACCTGTCCTTTTGTTTTAGACTTGACTATAGTAAACATATCCTATTTGCATGTATTCTAGATGGCTGAAACCTAGAATGCAACTGGAAGTAAGTTTATGTTAATAGCCGTTGGTATGAGCTTTAATGTACAATTGTTTTCTTCTCACATCTTCCTTCTCATTAAATTCTTTCTCAAATTCCTTCAGTTTTTATTGTTCCTCTTCCTGTCATAGCGGATGAGGTGTCCTCCCAGTTGACAGACCACTACAGATCTCAACTCTGGCCCATTTCCTGATAACAGTGCCAGTGTCCATATCCTATTCTTCTCCTTCCTCCGCATCTTTAAAATCTGCACATCAGCTTCCAGACACATTAGGAGAATTTTAGTGACAAGATTCAGCCCATCATATGATAAATTGGAACAGATCCAGCTGTGCTTCATTTCGTGTGACTAAACCATTAAGGCTGTGTTGTTTTACCCATCTCACCATTTCACAGAGGCTTAATCCTATTCTTTGTATGCCTAATTCACAATTGGATAGCAGAGAAGAGGAGATTTCTTTCTTGGTAATTTAGGGTAAAGGTTAAGTGAAGTCCCAAAGCCAGAGGGAGGAAACATTAAGTTCCCATGAGGAAGGCCTGGGAAGGGTTTATATCTGATCTTACACACCCCCTATTGATCCCATCGCCTGGCCATCTCAATGCTGTCCTCAAGTGAGCAAGTACTCCTTTGAGTGGCTCTGCAATCTTGTGTTGCCAGGCTCCATCCACCAGGTGATGTGTAGGACATCTCTAAATGTTCTCTAGACCAACATCTGTCACTCCTTTTCTTTCCCTGTTCCTTAGGGAACAATTCCTCTGGCCATCTGCCTTTGTATCAGTCTAAACCTACCAACTAGGCTAAGAGTTTTCTCTCTGGGGCTCAATGACTGCCTTCCAGTCTTTACTGTGCTTCTGTTGTGTTCATGTCTCAGGGAGGTTTCTGGTTTTGTTTTGGTTTTGGTTTTTACTTCCTCTTCATTTTCGCATTATATTCTGTGCATTTGAACTTCCATCCGTGATAACTCTTATTGCAAGAATTCTTTTGCATTTAGTTAAGCACTTCCCATCTATAGCTAAAAGAAGATAGGTTACCAATGGGAGAAGGACTGATGGGCCAAAGCTCATAAAAGCTAAGCTTGAGCAAGTCTCATCTGACATGCTATAGTGACCCTAGGCAAGTTATCATTATAAGTCCATGATTCTGATTATTTTTGTGGAAAATTTTATAAAAACACAAATCTCCTTAACTTCTTGGGTCACAGGAGGCAGTTAATGGAAGAAGTGAAGTACTAGGCATACCTTCTCCTATTTCTGTTAAATGTATTAACATCAGCTGCTGGACAGGATTCCTGATTTTATATGAACCTTGTGGCTTTCTGAGTGTCAAGTAGTATAGGACAGTTTCCAGTCACCAGTCTATAAACACTGAGTCTTCCTAGGGAGGGGATGCACTGTGGTCTGCCCAAGCTTTTTTCCTGAAATGCTGCCCTCCCAGTTTATCTGCCACTGCTGGAGACATCAGTGACAGAAGGCTTCTGGTTGAAGATGACTTCTGAATGAACTGTCTTGAGTGGTGGAAAGATATGTGAGGCTGACTCTCCACACATCGGGGTTTCTGGTGCTTGGTGGTAAATGCTGTCTCTTCAAGGAAATGCTGGATGAAAGTATTTATTAGCCTGAACATCTCAGGAAAAAACCTGACAATTCCCTTTGCCAAGCTTTCCTCCTAGAATTAGGGTGAATTGGTCCTTCACTACACACATCTGCGTTCTTCTGCAAACTAATTGATGAGTAAGTTTGTGCTTGTGTTAGAAAAAATTATAGGAGGAATCTGTTCTCTCCATTCAATAGGGTTAGCAAGGAAATCTAGGAGAGACATTATGATTCCAAGCACGCAGCTTTTAAGCAAGTCTCTCCATGCCTAAAAATGCAAACCCTCCTTGTGTGAGATAACTACTGCCTTTGTTTCTTAACCCCTGTTCCTTGAGTCTCAGTGGGGTCTTTGCAAAAGCAAATGGCAGAAGTGTGCTAAATTCATATGCTTGCCAGACAGAGATTTAGATAAGAAACATCAGAAATGTCTACATTTTAGCCTTGGACTCTAAGATTTCTAAAAATAACTTCTTTCACACAGATCACAATTGTTAGTATTTATGACTGCTTGACAAGTTCCAGAACCTCTTCCTGCCGTTGAAAAGAGATCATTCCTAAGAATTAAGCTTTGACTCTCTCATCTTCATACTTGAACTTTTTCTCCAAATAGTACCTGTCATCACCATGCTTTCTTGTCTCACGCTGTTTTCTTCACTCTGCCTCAGGATGGCCGTCTGAGAACGAACGACCAACTGATTGCTGTTAATGGGGAAACTCTTCTGGGAAAGTCTAACCATGAAGCTATGGAAACATTGAGGAGATCGATGTCCATGGAAGGAAACATCCGGGGCATGATCCAGCTGGTGATACTGAGGAGGCTGGAAAGACCGCTGGAGGTGACACCATTCTTGAATTTCCTGAAAATTGTTTAAATGGCCACCAGAATGTACAGACTCCATCACTCATGTGGTAGATTGACATTTACTGAGTTTGAACTTGGGGAAATATGTACCAGATAAGCTGTGATGAACCTGCGAAAGAAACAAATGGTTGTATATTTTAGATACAATGTAAAAGCATGAAAAATGCATATAAAGTAAATCAGTTATCAAATATCATGGGTCTGTGTTTACTTCGGCTTATATTTGGAAATTCCTACGGTTCTGGACTTATTAAAAAAGCATCTTTCTTAATACAACTTTTAGTGGTATGCTAGCAATGCCCATATCTTAAAAAGTTCCAGACTGGATGGATATATACAATGTTTAATTTGAAGATTATTATAATGTAATCAAATCTCTATATTCTCCCCTATAATCTACACAGATAATACAGACCTGAGGAGTAACTAAGTTAAAGTTGATCTGTTGAGCATTTTATTTTATTTTATCGAATAAATGGGAAGTCTTATTTCTTTTTAAGTATTTGATCATGATGTATAAATGTCAAGAAAATGTCCACTTACATATGAACCTTAGATATAAAATAATACAGTATAAAATAATATAATATAAAAAATTCTTAAATGCTGATATCTGAAAACATTTTGTTTACACAAAATTATAAATAAAATTATTCTTAAAAAACATGTAAAGGATTAAGTATTAAATGTTCCTAAGAATTACTTCAGGAAAAAATAAGTTCATAAAAATTAATAAAAATATCAGCACATAATATCTTTTCATATTAGGATAATGCCTAAGACCAAAATATGTTTCTGTACTACAACTGTGTGTAGAGTAAAAGTATATTCTACTGGAAAACTAATATCAAACATTGTTTTTAGTAGTAAGTTCAACTGAAATTTAAAAATGAAAGGTTATCAAAATGAAATATATGTCAGTGTTATAATATGGATTACTAGTGCTAAAATCCTCAATTTGCTATTACTGGATCATGAAAATACACTGTTAAGGTGAGTGCTCAATGTGTCATGAAAATACACAGCTATTGCAAGTGCTCCATGTGTATAAAACAGGTACTGGTACCCGCTTTTCTGCTTTTTCCACTGTTGGAGCTCCCAACACATGTTGCTAAATGAATGGAAAAGCTGCGTCTGAAACGCACGCACTTCATCCGACAGAGTGGTCTCAAGTAGTGAGATGATAGACCAGTTCTCCCTTTGCTCTGTTATCAACTACCGAGGAAGAGTAACTGTACCTTTTATGCTCTTTTGTACATAACCTTGTAGATGTTAAATAAATGTAAATTGGCCAATTACTGGAGACTATATATAATGAATGAGCTTGTTTTCCACATGTGCGTCTGCTTAAGTGACAGAGCCTTCATGAATATTTAATGGGCTTCACTTACGTACATAGTTTGAATGTCCTCTTCTCCTGCTCCCTAACATGAGAAAGGGGCCTGTCTGCTGTAATTTGGTCCTTCCTATAGAGTTCTGGGATACAAGGAACCCACTTATTGAAGAGTGATATGAAGAATAGTATAAAGGAGGGCTCAGTCATCCCTTCTTATATATCTGAATATTATAGCTTCCTTTAACAAAGATACTTCAACTAAGAAAAGATTGGACAATGCTGCTAGGGTGCCATATTCATACAGAGGTCAAGAACTAAAGAAAAAGAGAAAGGAATGAGTGTGGCTTTAATAGATTTAGAGGTAGCTTTACCTTTCCTCTTCCCTCATTCCATGTCTTCCTCTAAAATGCATGTGAATGGCAGTGGGTGAATGTGATACCCTGGCCCATGGAGTTGGGGTACTTTGCCATCAGCATTTGTCTCTAGTGTGGTATCTCCATCTTTATTTCCATAGTCTAGAGTGGAATGGGATTGGCAGTATCCCCTCAGAAGAAAGTATTAACTTTCAGTTCATTACCCATCCTCAGATGTGTCTTGTTAATATAGTTCACCAGGGAATCGATCAGGAATAGGAACTGTTACAAAAAGCAATTTTTATGAGGACATTTAAACATAGATCCATTTTCTTCCCCTAATATTTACATGCTTTCCATGGGGAATGAGCCGGCACTTGACGTTCAGCTGTAGAGAATCTTTGGGGTAGCCGTGAAGATTAAAGAGTCTTATTCCATATAACGACAGAAGCCTAATGTACAGCTTATATTTATTAAATTAAAAAAATCAGCTATGTGATCTCCTGTATCTGCCTCACCATGTCATGCATATGCTGTGCATAGTGTGTGCTGGGCACACTGGCTTTCGGTCTATTCTCCCACGGAGCAGCAAGTGCCCTCTGGTCCATAGAAAAGCATCCATAACCCAGAGGAGGTCTAAGCACTGCTCAGACATCAGGGCAAATCAATTAGTTAGATTTGGCAAGAATGCCAGCGTAATTGCTGGAACATTATACGGATATTGAAAAGAAATGAAGATGCTACTTAAGAAAAGTCAAAATATAAAGTTGTTATTTTTCCCCCACATTAGCCAGTTGTACAAGATAGGTAAACAGTTTTGATGAGAAGCTCAGGAAGAATACATAATGAGCCCTTGATTGAATCAGAATCGTTTTGAACAGAAGCATGTTTTCAAAGGATAAGCTTCAGGAGGGATTGTGATTCTGTCTGTGCCTAGAGACTTGGTATTTAAAAATGGGTTATGACCTGGTTTTGTTTTTCTCTTTCCCTAAACATTTTTCTCCCTGCTGCAGCTCATCTTCAGAGAGGCAGAACATGTTTAAAAATCCATTATATTTTTTATTGGCTGGGACACTAATGGAGGCCTCCACGACAGCTCTATTTTACAGGCTGGATGCTTTAATTAGGCTGGTTACTGATCAGTTGTTGGGCTATTGATTGTGTCATTTATCAAAGAGGTAGAAAAGCAGAAAAAAATGTTTTTGTTCTTGTTGCTATTGTGAAGTGAGAACACAAGGCAATGCAAGGCGAGGCTACCTTTACCTGCCCACTGGGACTCTAGCTTTAAGCTAGGACTCACTGGTCTCCTGTACCTGCTGTGGCTGGACTAGCACTATGGCAGCCAACGGTAATATGGTTAAGTGTGGAAGAACTGTTAGAAGTCTTCATAAGAAGCTAATAGCCCTCTGCAGCTGAAAACATTTTAATTATTTAGGAAACAGAATAGAAGTGAATGCTTGTATATTTTGTTTAGCTAGATACTGACTTTTATTTTTTGTTACTAAAGAGGAAAAAGTAAAATCAACTGCATTGTTTTGGCCAAATGCTTTCCTGGAGATGGGAGCTTGGGGAGTAGCTCTGTGTTTGTGACATGTGCCTCTCACAAATGGCCAAGAGAAGAGCTATGGAATGACTTCCAAATCATTCATTTCCCTGAAATCTGTTAGGGAGACAAATAGTAGGCACGAGAGCAAAAGACAGCTCGCTGTCATCACAGTCAGCCTGAAAGCCTGAGTTCTTTGTTGTCGGCTGCCTCTTGTTACCTCTTCAACACCTGGGGAAGATGGTCTGTGGGGTGTTATTCTGGATACAGCAGTTTGCAGGAAACCGTGAATTTGTTTATAGACTGCCAGAATCCAAACAGGACAGAAAAACACAGAAGGAAAAAAAGGCTCTGGGGAGAACCACTGCCTGGCCCCATTACAGTTATTTACGGTAGCATCTGGCCAAAGCCTGGGGTCTGCAGTGGGACACAATCATGGCATTCTAGTGACAAAAACTGCTTGGGTTCTGACTTGTCCTAGAGCATATGCACTTATCTTGGGAGAAACAGTGGCAGAGGGAGAGAGGAACCAGCTGGTTGGCAGAGAAACACCCTTGGCATGAACTGTAGTCTCATATTGACACTGCCACAAGCTGTACTCCCAGATGGAGGAAAATTTGAAAGAAGGCAGTTGTAAGTGGGGAGAAAGAATAATAAAGTTAACCCTCTTTTGTGTTGGCTACCAACACTCATAATCCTTAACACTACATTGTCCATGCTGTTTGTTCCTTATTGAAAGATGTTTGAATGGACAAGGCCATTTTGATTTTTCACTGTTGAAGATATACATGCTTGAGACTTAAAAGAGGATTCAGACAAGGACCATTCTTGCTCTCTGCTTCAATTGTCCAAGTTGGAATGTATTTTTAAAATGTAATTTTTGTGTCTGTCCCTTAGGAGCTTGCAGAGTGTGGGGCACTCTCCAGACCATGTTTTGAAAACTGTCAAGAAGCTCTGAGCTCCTCCAAGCGAAATGATAGTAGTGTATCGTATCCATTTGGCACTTTCAGTCCACAAGATAAAAGAAAAGGTAAAGGCTCTCCATTTCCATCCTCTTCAAATAGAGCACAAAACCATGAACATGGCTTTTCATTGAGAAGGGGGGAAGGTATGGGGACAAAGAAAAGTTAATTAGGCAAAGTGCAGACTTTGTCACTCAGAGTCATGAGAACTGAGGGCTGGGTGAGAGCTTTGACTCAGAACTTGTGAATCAGATTCCTGGCAAGGCTTCCCGTTTAAGTGACAGTTTCTGTGCTTGCTGCCCCAAACATGAGGGTTTTGTATAAAACAAACCATGACTGGAGAATCAAAGATGGCAAACTGTGAGTGTTTTGAAGATGTTTTTAATCACTGAAAGTTATCAAGTCCTTTTAAAATCACATGAGTTTACATGAAGCCACAAACTGGTCATGATGTGACTCAGGTTTTTGTGCCTGGTCCCAAGATGAATGTGACAAATAGTGCAATAGCACAGCTTGGGGCCATCGACGTGGCAGCTGGACTGTTGTTGTCTGATGACACACTCTCTTATTACTGGAATGGATCACATTTCAAGTAGACTGCTGGATTTTCATCATTGTTCTTTCAAGCTTACGCTCCAGGTCACCCAGAAACTTGTTTTATCTCCCTCTTTCTCCTCTCTTTAATAGCTTTCACTTTTTATATGGCAAAAGCAATACATACATATTCATTGTAGAAATTTTAGAGGAAAGCATTAAAAAGAAAATTTAATATTACTCATCCCTCTATCTATCATAGTTCCTAATCAATAACATTTTATGTAGATCTTTCAAGCCTTCTCCTCATGCAGATATGTATACATAAAAAGAAAGTAAAATGAAATGTACTATAGGTAATTTCTAAGAAGTTTTTTCTTCACTTGATACCACATGATGAGTATCTTATGTATCACTGAATTTTCTACAGCCTCGTGTGCAGTGGTGGCATGGTCTACTACTGTGTTTTTAGATGCCTAAGATGTTACCAAACTATAATGACATCCCAAACTCTGATATTCTCTCAGAATGAACTTGTAAATCTGAGATTGCTTCCGCACTCAACTATTTCATCTGAGTGAGATATTGGGGCAGGGGTTCCTCTGAAAGTTTTCTATTTTAAGTTTGTTTGATATGTTGTTAAGCAATTTACATTCAAATTCAAAGTGGGTCATATTATTAGCCTCATTTCACAGGTAAAGATATAGAGAGTCTGTGAGGATAAATAATTACCTAAGACTATGCATACTTGATACACTCAGAGCCTGGATTCAATTCCTATTTCTGGCTTTGGTTCATCTCAGTCATGGCAAAGGCCCTGCCTTGTATTCATTCTTCCCTTGGAACCACTGAAGTCTTTCTACCTAATCCTAAGAGTGCCTGTGAAATGCTGACTTTACCTTGTAACCAAATAAAAAGAATTACTTAGTATGTGCTGGCTTACCTTAAGTAAATTCCACTATCCACAAAGCAGGGAGGGAAGAGAATTTATCTGTAGAATGCAGAGCATCCTTAGAACTCTTTATGCTTTATATCTGCATTAAAAAAGTGAGTCCTTTGTTGTCAGCAATCACAGATAATCTCTGGGTAAGATTTTTGTATTTTTTTCTCTTCTAAAACATCGATGTTGATAGAACAACTTCCATAACTATAAAAAGAAAACAACAGCAACAATACCCAAACAAACAAACAGACAAACCAAAACCCACTCATCAGTGACCTGCAAGGTACCGGCTTCATTTCCAATCCTGACTCCCCAAGTTGGTGTGAAAATCCCAGCTCCTTCAAGACCTTTCTCATATGAGCTAGAGAATTTCTGGTAGTGCCTGCTATGGAATAGTGTGGTATTCTAACATAGTAAGGGAGGATAAACTGCATCCTTGCTGTAAGCCTCTTATGCAACTAACCATTGTTGACTTGAAAAAATAAAGTCTAGATATTATTAGATCCCTGTGTGTCTATACTATATTACCAGGTTGCCCAAATTCAACTTTTCATAGCAAGAACTCATTGCATTTTCAGTTAGAAGTTGAGTGATAAGCTTACAATTGGTGCAAGCCAACTGACTTAGAGATTTTATGAACATTCTAGAATTAAAATAGCATCATGCTGCTCTCATCATGTCTATTGTCTCTCTTCAAGTCTTAACATTTTTCACTTTGAGAAATTCCAAGATGCCTTGAGTTTCAGAGTCAGCAAAGGTGCTACATGCCATGGATACTTGTGATACTATGATAGTGGCCTTACCTCAACTGACTGGAAAGGGTCTCTCTTAGCAGAGCATGGTTAACTTGACACAATGTAGCCTCTAGTGAGGATAGCAGCTTGGACAGCCAAAACATTAACTTTCCTCTTTCCCCTTTAAGGTCTTTATGTGTTTATGAGTTGATACACTGTGTTCTATCTAATTTTGTGATAGTAGTACATACTACCCACAGTTTGCTCAGTATTTTACTTTTTATTCTTTCCAAGCTGCTACATAGAAAAGGAATTTTTAGAATAACATTTGTAAAATTGGAACACCAGAAAATTCATATTTGTATTAGAAAATTGTTAGCTAGGCCTCCTATGGAGGCAGTGTGGTGCTCCAGGATAGCAGTGGGATGGAGGCTGTGTCCCCGGGGCTTTCTCTAAGCTGGTTAGACATCTGAATAGTCATGAGGTGTACCAACAGTGTGCTTCATGCTGATGGACAGAGCCTCAGCACAACCCGCCTCTAGCTGTGACCTTTCTTCTCTTTGCCTTCCTCACCTTTACACTCTGGGCCTGCAGTGTCTCCACTTTTGCCTCAGATGACAGCTCAGGTGACCCACGACCCAAATCCTTCCAGTCATCCACTGAGTAAGGTCTTTCCTCCCTACCTCGTACCGGACATTCTCACTTTGTGCTCTGTTCTGCTGTATCCATATTCCTCGGAGGATTTTGGAGAAATAACAAAATCCCCCTAATGTTTATGTTTATAGGAACCAAAGTGCATCCATCACTCTATAGCAGGAGGCACTCTGCATTGTTGATCAGAAATTGAATTCTCCTTCTCAATTTGGCTAGTGTTGATTGAACACCTTTATGTTGTCAAATACCATCAGGAAGACAGATATGTGTGCAATGCTGCATCACTATTATTACCCTCAAGAAGAGTCTAAGGTGGGGTCATCAAGCTCTCTAAACTTGGCCGTTGTAGTGCAGAAGCAACTAAAGCAAGTGTGCAAATAAAGGAGTGAGGCTATTTTCAACAAAATTTTATTTAAAAGCCAAATATTGTGCTAATTTCAGACCAGGGCCATAGCTTTCTTCTCCTATTTAAAGGCATGGTTTCTCATCTCTCAGATATTTCTTGATTAGATGGACTCTACGTAACAAAAAATACTATGGTAACTAAAGAGGGTCATTTAGCCAACAATAACTTAGTGACTAGAAGTCACACTGTCAATGTTCACATTTGTGTGTGTGTGTGTGTATGTGTGTGTATTAAGAGTATATTTATACAGTCAATTAAATTCAGAAGTATTGTTTTTATGAGATTAGAGTTCTACACTTGCATACCTGATACAAAGCTTAACAAAGGTGTCAAGAGAAGAAAAGTCCATACAGAGTCTAAGCATGTTGTACACAGAGTCAACCAACATGATATTTGCCTCTACTCCTGTCACCACACTAAGCAAAACAGCTAGGCCCTAGATATACACTCAAAGTTAAAGTGATGCCTTTAATAAGACTCTAAAACTCCTAAAAAAGAAGCTTTAGAAGAGACAAAAGAGAAGACAAGGAGGAATTTACCTTCAGTCTAGTTAGAAAAATGTTGATGAATAGATTACAGCTTGATAACTCAATAGATAGCTGTGTTCACAAAAATAGATCACGATAGATATGATATAGGACTTGGTTTATCCTACTAATGCACAAACCTGAACACTAATGGATAAAGACAGAAATCATCGACCATGGGAGCTTGATGGAAGAAGAATGTTTTGTAGTCATGAATGTCCAGACAGTGGCTCATTCTAACAACTTGTCAATAGGCTTTTGGGAGACATTTAGGAAAAGGATATAATCTGCAGTTCTCATTCATCCATAGCTATTTCGTTGTTGTAGTAAAGGAAAGAATATTGAGCGTGAACAATGTGATTAGCACAATGTCTGACCCACAGTGTCTTGTCAGAATTCACTTCTTACTGGTAATAGTGACCATCAGAGTGCATGTTACTTTTCCACTACTGAAGAGCCTGTAGAAGAGTGCCATGCTCTATCTAGTAGGAAGCCCCAAATCCAGACTCCAGTCTTTACAATACCTTGGGGCACAGATAGAGATAGTGGACCTTTTCTCTCTGCTTTGTCTAAACAGTGAACAACACACATCATCTCAAGGCATTTCCTTCAGCATTTTTTCCCCACTCAGGTAAATGCTTGAATTATAGTTCAGAGTATTCATAACAAAACCATAATTATGAAAACATTAAGGTATAAAAAACGTGTTTTATGAGTCTCCTACAAGTCAGGGGCATTGTTAGGTACCAAGCTGTCACAAGTAACAAAAGGTCATCGAGATGTGTGAATTTATTTGTCACAGTGACCAGTGAGTGGGTCACACACAGAGACACTCTAGGAGGCACAGGTCATTGCAGCCAGGTAGCATTCATGTGAGACCTTCCATTCCAGGTGAAGCTTTATTGATTTCAAAGTTGCTTTATGTGTCTGAGAGATAGACTGAAACAAAAGTAGGCACTGAATCCTTCTCCCTCTGGCTTACTACAGCTTTATTTGTTCCTTGTTTACAGACCTATTGCTTCCCAATGATGGGTGGGCTGAGAGTGAAGTACCGCCATCCCCGCCACCACATCCTGGTCTGGAATGGGGCCTTGAAGATTACGGCCACAGGTATCGATAAAATGATATATATAAATGTTCCCTGTTATACTTTTTCTGGGAAAACTCAGCAACCTTATTTTAACTCTATTTCTTTCCAGAATGGAAATCTCACAGTCTCCATTTTTCCTTTTGGGTGAAAGGTTTTTTTCTGGCTAACAGCTTACATTGCTCATAATTGGCTTCCTGGAAATTTTGAGATTCATCTAATGTAATTAACATCACTAAGAAAATAGCTGAAGTTTCTTTTACAAGTTTGAAGACCAGAGAAGCAGAGCTCAAAGAAAACTTACATAGGAAGGTACAAAATAAAACCAAAAAAATCATGAAGCCTCAGGTTCTCTTTACTTTGTAATTGGCAAACCTAAAAGGATTTTTATAAAATAGATGCTCCAAGAAAGTTAATGGAACCTAAAAATTAAAGCAACACCATATAATCTAAGATATTGAAAAGGGTACCCAATATTATAGCCACTCTGTAATAGAAACTAGAAAATCAATAACTTTTAGACTTACACAAGCATGAGAGGGGAAGATTTACTAAGCATACATACTGTTTGACTAGGGCAATTCATAGATTGTGTTCTTCTGATGAGTTTTAAAAATCATTAAATTGTCTCTTTGCTATTTTCTGTATTTATTATGGTTGTTAAAAAACTGTATTTTATTCCATTCTGTTTCCCATGATAATCCTGTGAAATTTCTTCTTCTTTTCTTTTATTTCCTTTATTTCTTTCTTTTTTTGCAGCATTGCTGGTGTCATTTCCATTATGCTCTTTAATGCAATCTGCTAAAATAAATAAATAAGTAAATAAATAAATAAAGCGACATGACAGTGCAGCCAACTCTATCATAGGGAAGCTACCTATGTTGTATTACCTCTGATTCTTGTAGTTTTGAAATCAGTTATTTTCCTTGAAACAGTACCATGAATTCCATTAAGAGTCACAATATGCTAAACCAGTACTGGTAGGGCTTTCTTAGAAAAACATGATGTAGTTAGTTTTGTTCATTTATTTACATTGTCTGTCTTGATCCTGAATCCAAAATGAATTTGATAATGTCCAGAAATCTCTGACCTGGTTGGGAGGTGGTAACACACATCTTTAATCCCAGTACCTGGAAGGGAGAGGCAGGTGGATCTCTGTGAGTTCCAGGCCAGCCTGGTCTACAATGTGAGTTCCAGGATAGGCTCAAAATCTACAGAGAAACCCTGTCATGTAAAACAAGAACAACAACAAGAAAGAATTCTCTGACCCTGCCCAAAAGTCAATTCAAAATTGTTCAAAGATCTTAATTTAAAGCCTGAGACACTCAGACTGCTAGAGGAAAGCATAGTGAACAGACTTGAACACTTTTTGAACAGGACTTCATCAACACAGAAAATAGTTCCAAGAATTGACCAATGGAAATGGATAGAATTAAAGTTTCTGCACAAAAACGGAAACTGTCTTCAGAAAAGTTACACAGCCTACCGAATGGGAGAGTCTCAGTCAGCTCCCTCCTAGGCAGGGCTTGATATGCAGAAAACATTAATAATCTAGACTATATAAAGATCTTCAAAAATTAAGGACAAAAGAATGTACAGCTGCCTAATCAGTAAGTGGGCCAATGAAATGAACAGTGTTAAAAAAGAAGAAACACAAATAAATAATTCTTAAACATTCAGCACCCTTATGCACCAGGAAAGTGCAAATTAAACTTGAGGTTCTTTTTCACCCAAGTCAACATGAGTATTATCAAGAAGATAAACGATAGCAAATGATGGCAAGGACATAGGGATGAGAAACCCCTGTCCACTGCTGGGGGAAATATAAACTAGTGCAACCATTTTAGAACTTGGTGTGAAAACTTCTCTTTGAAACAGATAAAATTCACTACAGGAAACCACAACCAAGCCAAATGCAGAGTGGGAGCCCAGTCCCAAAGGATACATCTACAAAAACACACATGCACCTAAGGCCCAGGGAGTATTTCAGAAGAAAGGGTGGAAAAATCATAAGAATCAGAAGATCAGGGACTTTGCTGTAAGATTGTGTCTCTAGCAATATTGAAAGCTACATCCTTAAAGTCTCCCCAACATGACAGCCCAAACATGAACTAGAAAAGGATGACACCAACGAACATGCCAAAGTAGACGTATAAAGTACCATAAGGCCTCAGCCCTACACAAAGGCAACTGAGGAAAGTTGGGAGTGGGAGAGGTGGCCTTCCCTGTGGAAGAACACACCAGCTGGTTGTCTAGTGCCAAATGGTCAGTTCTGAAGACACACATACAGGAAACATTTTATATGGACTCAACAGGCTATACTTAAGAATATATGTATGTAGATAAATGCATGCATAACCAATGAGTGAAAAAGAGAGGGCATAGATTTGAAGGACAGTGGGGAGGGGTGTATGTATAGGTTTGGAGGGAGGAAAAGAAAGGGAGAAATATTATAATTAAATTATAATCTCAAAAATTAAGAAAGTACCTTCAAAAATTTCTATAACCAAGAAAAGAAGGGAAAATAGAATTAGAACTATCATATGACCCAGCAAAATCTGCACTTGACATATACCCAAGGGATTCTATCCTGCCACAGAGTCATTAGCAAAACCATGTTTATTGCTGTACTATTTATGATAGCAATGGAATGTCACCCAGCCTAGATGCTCATCTACAGGAAAATGGATAATGAAAATGTCACGTATATGCATATGTATGCATTTTCCTCAGCTATTATGAAGACAAAGTCAGGAAACTTGCAGGAGCATGGGTGGAACTGGAAAGTATATTAAGTGAGGTGACCCAAACTCAGAAAAACAAAACTCACATTCCTCTCTTATAATCAGATGTTACCTCTTAGTGTTTGTATGTATGTAGATAAGGGATTGGGTTGTGACAGTGGGTATAGACTATGAAACCAGATAGGCAGCCTCTTTTAAAGAGGGGAGCAAAAGGCACTGGGAAAGGGATGAGGGGGTCCCAAAGGTCGCATGTGACATCGAAGAGCACATAGGGTGGGATAGTACAGGGAGGGGACAGATGAGGAAGAAGTAGGGAAGAGAAATAATAACCAGATACTTTGTTTGACAAAGGTCATTATTAAACCTAACTTCTTGTAAGCTAATAAAAAACCCAAACCATTTTAAAGTAAAGATAAAAATGCACAGAAAGGTAAACACACAGCTCATTAAAAGGGAGAGATCAGTGTCAGATGCCCTGGGAGCGCAGAAGATTGAACCCCAACGCTGTCTGTAAGATGAAGGAAGGTTACATCGGATACAGAGTGATTTCATGGGAAAAGAGGGGGGCCATGTGGCAGGGAAGTGGCAGAAGGAAAGTCTTGATGAGAGAGGGAGGAATCCTGTGTTCAGTGTAGCTGAAACTTTGGTGTGTGGAGGAGGACTCCATGACAGGTGGTCAGCCATGTTCCATGAGCATCTTACTTCTCCGAAAACAGTGGAGAAGCACTGTTGGGAAGAGAGTGTTGAACCCTGAGCAATTTCAGGTGTGAAGGGGGAAACTGTAGCCAATGGGACTCGTTAGACATGAGAGTAGCAGAGTCTAAAAGGAAGGAGAAATTATATAGGTGGAAGGGACAGAGACGTTTCTGAGATGGATAAAACAAGACTTAAGGCTTTACAAGTCTTGCCCCTCCTGGGACCCTGTGACCTGTGCCATCCTGCAAGTCATTCTGTTGCCTAGGTAACCAGCAGCAGTAGGGTTTGGATGTGTGAGGAAAGAGGAAGGAATGGAATGGAGCCAGGGAAGTAGAGCAAGGAAGGCTGTCCCCTTGCCTTTCTTTCTTTTTTTAAAAATGTTTTTATTTAAATTAGAAACATACTTCAAATGTCAATCCCAGCTCCCCCCTCCCTTGTCCCTCCACCAGCCCCCTCACCCCTAGCCCAACCCCCACATCATTCCCCAGGGAGGGTGAGGCCTCCTTGGGGGTATCTCCAGAGTCTGTCATTTCATCCAGGGCAGGACCTAGGCCCTTCCCCATGTGTCCAGGCTGAGAGAGCATCCCCCCTTGCTTTTGGGGGTGGAGGCTTAAAACAACAAGAAATCAGAACTTGTTTCTGTTATCCAAATGTTTAGAATTCATGTGTTTGAATAAAAACAAAATATATGAGAAATGTTTATTTGCTGTGAAGTCTCAAGAAGTGGGTTAAAGCGAGACAATAACAAAATATGTTGCGTTTTTGTGCTGCCTAGTTTTTGTTAACTTGACACTAGCAGGAATTATTTAGGAGGAGGGACAGTCAATTGAGAAAATACCTCCATAAGATCAGACTGTAGGCAAGTCTGTAGAGGTATTTTATTGATTAATGATTGATATGGGAGTGCCCAGGTTACTGGGAATGGTATAGTGGTCCTAGGAGCTGTAAGAAAACAGAGCAGACCTTGGGGAGCAAACCAGTAAGCAGCAACCCCCCCCCGCCACTGTCTGCATGAGTTCCCTGGATACTGGACTGTATGCTGTAAAATGAAATAGACCCTTTCTTTCCCAAGGTGTTTTTGGTCATACTGATTTACCACAGTAACAGAAACCCTAACTAATACAATATTCTTAACAATTTAGAAAACATTTGGCTATTCCTTTATTGTTCATATTTTCTCAGTCATATCCCTCTCCCACGCACATACAAGTCCTAGATCCCTGAAGCTTCACACAATTTTCTTGGCAGGTCCTTCAAATCTCCCTCCCTGTCTTTTACTTTCAGAGCGTTCTCCTTGAACACCTACTCCTGACTCCTCTGTGTCTTTCATATTCCTGGTTTGTTACCATTTTCAGGACAACGGCATATGTTTCTTGCTGCCCTTATTTATTCATTATGCAGCATAATTTGACAAGAGTATCATTTCTATTTGAGAGATTCCCTGGTTGTTCATGCTGAAAACACAGCCTTTATCTGGGACATGTCTCTGGCCTGCTGTCAATGTCCAGTTTCTTACTGCAGCCCACTCAGCCATGAGAACATGCTAACCTCCTTCAAAATTAGAATATGTCATATTTTATAGTTAATCATTGTGTCACCCTCACTCCAAATGCTTTCGATATGTAGCATAAAATTGCAAACGATTGTAACCATCTAACTTACATGGCTAAAATATTTTCACATTAACTAATTCAATACTGCACTCATTATTTCAGTGTGCTATCTGCTGACATTGGCTCTAATCCCATCACATCTCGTATTACCCTCACCTCCCTGCTTAAATATCTGCCAATCTGACTTCAGCTTTGTTTTGCATTTCCATTTTGTACCATGGTAAAAGGGATCCTGCTAAATGAATGTTTTCAAACTGAGCATTTGGACGCATTGAAAATAATGGTAACAGATGTATATAACATCAAACTAATGGATGTAATCAGACACATGCATATATGTGTAAATGATTTACAACATTCATATGTATAGTGCAGCTTTCATTTATCCTATTTTCCTCAATTATATCCTAATATTCTTATAGGAATATATTTGCTTTGTTTGAGCAGATTCTAACTTGATACTGTATCAAATGTTACCCCCACCCTATTTGTAGAACAGGGGAGGTAAGAATGATTATTTTCCAAAACTTTAAAAATTTTGAGCTCTTATTCCTGGCATGTCAATTATTGCCAAATTTGAAAAGATTATTTAAGAGGCTGAATTGGATTAAGCAATACATTCATCAGTTGGGTAGATTCCCATAGTCTGCCATGAGCAGAGTGCTTTAAATGCAGTGAGATCTTTGTTTTAAAGAGGAATATTCATGTCTGTCCTAAACATCTTCCCTGAAGGCTCTCATTAAAGTGTACAGCATCTGCTCCAATTAACTACTTGGTTTTCTTTCATTTCATCACATCTACCGCTCAGAGGAAACAAAAGCAAACCTAAAATGCAAGTTACTTGGGCGACTGATCAGATATTCAATTTAAAAGGAAGACAATGTTTGTGTGTTCAAGCTTGTATTTTAACCCAAACTTGTGAACTCAGGTTCCGACTTTGCCCTTGAGCAGCTGTGTGACCTTGGGCCATCAGTCCCCTTCTTTGGGCCTTAGACTCTTATCTAATAGATGGGTGACCTTTAATCCCTTCTGCCTCAAGCCTTTGAATTTGTAAAGATCGTGTGTCTTGCTGACATTAAACCTGCATCACCATACAAGATCAAAGCATAAAATCTATGTACACATAAAGGATGGGTAACACATGTAAAGACACATGATCCTGCAGCACCAAAGCCTGAGGGGGTCTCTTGATCCACTGCTATCTCTGAATTCTGTAAAATTGTGGGAAAAATGGGAGTATTCCCATTAGACCACGTAGGCATCAGTAACACTAAATGAGTTAAGGACTCTGGGGCAGAGTTGGTATGCTCTGCCATCACTAGGTATGACGTCTATAGCACTTGAAGCCTTCCTCTATTGATAATGCACCCAGATACCAAGAAAGAAACCCTCAGAATCTTTGTAACACTAAAGAGTCAATTCAAATTTTCTGCATAGTTTCCATGAAAACAGGTATAATCTTTGCATTGGAGAGAACCCCAGGTCCTTATTCAAAAACCACCTTGACGAACAGAAATAAAAAAGAAAGCTATTAGGTACTTATTAATTCTAAAATATGACTAACATATTTTTTACCAGGTGGTAGATATTACTCTCAGTATTTTGTATATCTGGATTTATTTAAACCTTTATGAAGGCCTTATAGAGACCTTCTATTACTGCACATTTTATAGATGAGGTTACTAAGGCCAAAGGGTGAAAAATATAGTTATACTCCTTTTATGTATAAGGACAGTGAAGTACAGACAGGTCCAATGACTTGCCCAGGTCACACAGCTAGCAAGTAGCGAGCTAGGATATAGACTAGTCCATTGTATTCTATGGCCCTGACTCTTGAGTGTCAGGACCCATTCTGTTTCCGCCCCCTGCATTCTAATAACAGAGGCTTCTTTAGTCATTCAGCAAGCTTCCATTTAACATTACTGATGGGGACTATTAAATATCAAGACTGAAAAATTAATTTTTAAGAAAACAAATTTGTCTAGTGTATTTAGATGAAACTTGATGTTGCTTCTGCTGTTTGTCAAAGAATCCTGAGTTTTCACTTTACAGAAATCACCCTGAGACGAGTAGCACGTATACATTTCAGCAAACCCGAGTACAAAGGAGAAAGCAGTTGCAATTTAATTTATGAAGATTGTGTATGGACTTGCTTCTAAACAAATATCAGCCACTATCTAAAATTTTTTATATAATCCCTTCTACTTAGTCCTCAACCACAAAAGAGTGTTCAGTAGAAGCAAAATTCTTTAGATTGACCCCAAGGACCAAAAATCCATACAGGACATTTAATGTATCTGTGTCTAAATTGTCAACTGTGACATTCCTGGGCTTTCTTTCGGTTTTATTGATGGACAGACTATCTGCTAGGCATTAGCATTACTCTTTGAAGATCACCCAAAAAGGTAAAACTCAGTCTCCTGCAGCCATCAGTCATTCGTGATGGTTTTCTTGAAGGAGATGTCCCTTTCACTGCTCTTTAAAAGCCCACTCATCCCATAGGAATCTCTTAGCCCACTTTGGGCTTTGCTAGTACCTAGCATCATCTTTTGAAGTGTTGGGGCTTCCCAGGCACCCCTCACCCACCTGAAGTTATATAGGATGCAGCAGTGTCCCAATTAACAGAAACGACTGTTATTAGCTCAGGTACATTTTATTTAAATTTTACTGCAGAATAAAATGCATAGGCCAGAATTGTTACAATCCATAAGAGAAATCTGAGAATCAAGATTTGGTTTAAAATACCTGACTACAGGCTGAAGAGAAAATGATGAGGGAATGTGTCCAATGTGCGAACTATATATTCATGTCCATTCATAATTTTCCTCCCTCCCTCCCTGCCTCTTGCTCTAAACCTAAATATAATATTTACCTTCTTTCCACAGCTCTGGGGTGGATTCCACAGTATATTTTCCAGATCAACATGTCAATTTCAGATCTGTGACGCCAGCCATGCAGCCTGAATCAATTAACCTGAAAACCTCCAAAAGCATGGACCTTGGTAAGTGACAGGGAGGTGCATCCAGGTCGCTTTTCCAATCTCTGCCCATCTGTCTTCCCAAAAGTCCAGTTTTGTTCCTTCAACTTCAGAAGCTGGGAGGGGGCACTGTTCACTCTGTCTTTCCATTTCCTCTCACACTTGTAATTGTGATAAATCTGATTGTGAAGGAAAAAGAGATGCCGATTTTTATGAAGCGTTCCACACAATGCTCTCCCTCTATAGATCAGGAAAAAAAAAACCAACTAATTCTGGAAAACTTGACTTCCACAAAAACTCTTCAACTCACACAGCTTTGCTTCCATGCGATTTCAGCTTGTCTATATCATGCTTGTGGGCATATCTGTTGTTTGGCCTAACAGGATAATGGGGTCAAATGATACTTCCAGATGGCCTCTTCCACTAAATATCCCTGAGTCCTATGACACTAGAGAGGTGAGGTGTCCCTCAGGTTTGTCACATTGAGGGTATTGAGGCACCCTCGTGTGGTACCTAAACAATCCTACTGATATTCTGAATACCATAAGATTTGGTGGCCTCAAGGGGAGATCCAGGACACTGGCAACAATTTAAACAAGGACTTGGGGCTGTAAGACTTCCCAGACACTGAAGAGCTTTGTCACCATTGTCTTGGAACTTAGTAACAGAGTATAGCATACTCAGAGCAAAATATTCATTGCATCTTGAGAACTCAGGGGCCAACCCCTGCAATTGTGTTTTCTTGAGGCATATTATAGTATTCATTAATAGTAACAAGGAAACAGAATCATCAAAACTGCAAGTCTACCCAGTGATCTGATAAATGGTGCTTATCTGCTGTTCATTTACAGCAGCTCAGGAAAATGTTCAATCACAATGAAACAAGGGAAATTGATTCCATTTTCTATAAATTAACTAAATCATTGGGAAGAATTTGCTCTAATCACCTATAGCATGAGACAGAAAAGCTCAACAAGGAGGCTGCCATGAGCCCTGGTCATAAGGGGAGTGTTTCCAGAGGAAACCTGTGACAAACCAAAGGGCTAATGTAAGACATCTGTGATTACTAAGATTTTAAGGAGCAATTAGTTTTCATGAAGTGCTTGATAAACATTTCCTCTCTGTCTTCCCAGTTTCTCTATAAAGAAAATAAATGGGTAAAAATGGCTCTTAATTTTTGGGAGAGAAATATATTGCTGTTTTTCTTCATTTAATTAAAAAGGGTTAGCATTGTAATTCTAAAATCTGTGCCAATGATAAAAATAGTATATCATCCATTTTAAGAGAGAAAAATACCACCAAGTTTACAAAATTATTAAACCTGTCATGTTAAAAGAGTATTTCTATTATTTTGTTTTTAAATTTTATTAATTCTTTGGGACCTTTATAAGATGTTTTAAACATATTTACCCCTCCCCTAACTTCTTCCAAATTCACCCCTTCTCTACCCATTTTCCATATATATATAATACATATAATAGTATATATATTGTTATTATTAAGTCCAAGTAGTGCTGTCCACATATTCTTGAGGGTATGGCCTTCCACTGGAGGGTGAATGATTTATCAGGGGCTACACTCTTAAAGAAAACTACTCTCCCACTTTCAGTTGTTAATAGGCCTTCAGCTAGATGTGGGACTCCATGCCTACCTCTTCTCTCCCTGTTGGAATTCCATCTGGCTCAAGTTTGCACAAGTCTTGTGCATGCTGTCCCTGTTAGTTACTAGTAGACATGATTCCTAGTAGGCATCACTATCTCTGGGTCTTAGACTCTTTGAGCCCCTCTTCTGCAATCATCCCTGAGTCTTGGGAAGAAAGGGCATGAGGGCATGGTACAGATGTCCCTTTTAGGCCTGGGAATTCCATAGTTGCTCATTCTCTATACTTTGCCCAGTTGTCGCTCTCTGTGTTTTTTCTCTATATATGTTTTTATTTAAATTAGAAACATGCATGCTTCACATGTTAATCCCAGCTCACTCTCCCTCCTCCCTTGTCCCTCCACCAACTCCCCCAACCCCCCCCCACTCCCCACATCATTCCCCAGGGATGATGAGGCCCTCCTTGGGAGGATCTCCAGAGTCTGTCATTTCATCCAGGGCAGGGCCTAGGCCCTTCCCCATGTGTCCAGGCCGAGAGAGCATCCCTCCATGTGGAATGGGCTCCTAAAGTTCATTCATATGCCATGGTAAACATTGATCTACTACCCAAGGCCCCAGAGATTTCTGAGGCCTCCTCACTGACACTACATTCATGAAGTCTGGATCAGTCCCTTGTTGGCCTGTCAGCCATCAGTCTGGGGTTCAAGAGCTCCCCCTTGTCCACTCAGCTGTCTTTGTGGGTTTCACCACCATGGTCTTGACCCCTTTGCTCATCACTTCTCCATCTCTGTCACTGGGTTCCATGAGTTTAGTTCAGTGTTTAGCTGTGGGTATCTATCTCTGCTTCCATCAGTCACTGGATGAAGGTTCTAGGATGGCATATAACGTAGTCATCAACCTTATCATCAGGGAAGGACTCTTAATGTAGTCTCTCCGCTATTGCTTAGTTTGCCAGTTGGTGTTATCTTTGTAGATCTCTAGAAATCTCTCTAGTGTCAGCTCTCTCCTCAAAGCTATAATGACTCCCTCTATTATGGTATCTCTCGTCCTGTTCCCCTCTATTCTTACCTCGATGTAACCTTCCTGCTCCCCCATGTCTTCTTCTCCCCTCCTGTTATCCCCTTTCTTTGTCCTGGTTCCCTCTCCCTTCCCCCCATGTTCCCAATCTGCTCAGGAGATCTTGCCTCATTCCAGTTTTCTGGGGTATCATGCATATCTCTTGGGAGCCTCCCTGTTTCCCAGACTCACTGGCACTGGGATTGTAGGCTAGCACTCATCTGATCCATGTCTAAAATCCATATATGAGTGAGTACATACCATGTCGCTCTCTGTGTTAAACACCATCTACTACTACAAATAGAAGCTTCTCTGATAAGGGTTGAGAGATGCATTGATCTAATACTGATACTTTATTTTTGAGAAAAATTTCTTTCAAATTGAAATCTTATTTCTGAAATGTGTATATGAGCATTCATCCATTGCATTTATTGTACATGATAGATATACTCTAATGATCAATGACAATACTGATGTTTGTTCAATTTGCACAACTGTCTATGGGTTATTTTGTTAAGGATATAAGTTCTAAACTAGAAGGCATTGTTCAAAATGCACTGTAGCAAAGTGGATGCTTTTAAAACATGTAAACAGAAGTTGTCAAAGTTGAACCCTTTCTGAGAAGAATGAATTTAAGGCTTAGAGAGTTTGGGAGTAGGAAGTATAGGACCATCTTGGTCTTTCTCCCCAGAGAAAGGTTGGGTGAGCTAATAAATGTGTTGTTTTTCACAGCAAGTAAGCCTAGTGATACTCTAGTGCTGAGTATTTAGAAGTATTTCCTCTTTTATTAGAAGAGTAGAAGGTTGTTGTGGTTTAAAGTGCCATTGAAAACTCTGATATATATATATATATATATATATCAAGATAGAGATAGATAGATAGATAGATAGATAGATAGATAGATAGATAGATAGATAGATGATAATGTTTAGGGGACAGATGCCCTCAGCAGGATAAAATACAATTTCAAAAGTTAAAAGCTAATAATAAACCCTAGGACTGGAAATGCAGTTCAGCTGGTAGAGTGCTTGCCTGCCATGCCCAAGGCCCTGGATTTAATCCTCATAAATAAAACCTACAATATTTAGGCAGAATACTCACATAATATTTATTTTAACCTGGAAAAAGCATCAGCTTCACAGAGTTAAAAATAAAAAGACATAAAAGGGCAAATGTTCATATTTATTTATTGAGTGATGACTATAGACTGGCTTGTTCTCTGTCCAAAAGTTTCCATGACCTAAGTGTGGTGGTAGATGCTTACAGATGCTTGTAACTCTAGCCACTTTGGTGGAAGGCAAGTGGAGCTGGATTTAACGCCAGCCTGGGCTATGCAGCCAGCACTGTCTTCTGAAAAGTCTGTAGGAATCTTCAAAGGGTCCATAACCTTAATCTGTACTTTGAATCATTTCACATGTTCTGATGAATTTTGAAAGGTGAGGAGATTTCAGTTACTTATTTTTATATATATTTCCAAAGAAGGGCATGTCTTATGAAGCTCCAACTTATACATTCCCATTCCTTTTCCCTAGTCACCGTGCACAGACAAGGCTTAGTCATAAATGAACTTTCCTATTGTACTGTGCACTTTGCTCAACCGTCCATGTACATGTTCGTGCCACATGTATTTTGGAGTCATTGCATAGTTATGTAATACTGAATGAATTGGAATCATTGCAGAGTTATTTAGTACCGAATGAATTTAAACTTTGCTTTTTTCTTATATTTAAATGGAACTTGAGCTTAATTGAAAGTTTTATTTTGCAGATTTGGCTTTTTTTTTTGAGTCTTTGTATTTTCTTATCTTAAATTTATTTATTTATCTTTCACAGTAGTCATTTGTTTTTTTTGCTATTTTTATTATACTAGTACAATGTTGTAAACCATTACTTGTGTTTTCACTTTTATCTTGACATTTTTTACTATAAAACATGTTTTGATGGGACTGGCATGAGTGCTCAGTTGGTAGTTTACCATGAAACCATGAGGACCTGAATTAGATGCCTAGTGCCTATCTAAAAAGCATAGATGTCAGTCACTTTGTAGTGCCAGAATTAGGGAAGCACATAGGAAGACGTCTAGGGACTCACCAGTCAGTGCGGTAGGTCAGTGACCTCCAGGAACAGTGAGAGACACTGTCTCAAATCTAAGGTGGAAAGTGACAGAGACTGACTCTGAGGTCCACCTGTGGCTCCCTCACCAAGATGTGTCCTGCTGCTCTCTCCCCAGTACACACACACACACACACACACACTCTCTCTCTCTCTCTCTCTCTCTCTCTCTCTCTCTCTCTCTCTCTCTCTCTCTCTCTCATATATATATATACACATAAACACAAATATTTTAGATTTATTGTCATATAATCCTAT